GGCCTTGGGGCTGTCCAGGGAGGTGTCAGAGAGAGCCACGGGGAGGGGAATTTCTGTGACGCCCAAACAAGGGCAAGCGTGATGGTGACGACCCATGCAAAGGCAGGACCAAGTCCTTCCCTGCGTTCACCACTTGGAGTTCACCCTGGGGCCCCCGGCAAGCAACGTGGGCAAGAGGCTTTTATAAACAGACTGGTGTTGGTCTTCCTGTCAGCGTGAATGCAGGGCGGCTGGAGTCGGGTGAAATTGGACTGCAGGATTAGGACGCCCCGGAGTGGGGCACGCTTGTGGCCATGTCACACGCTTGACGATGTTCTTCATGGAAGTGCAGTGTGTCGAATCCCACATGAGGCACAGGGTGCACCTGCGGCAGGATTATTGGAGAGAGTTTCTTTGTGAAGGTGGAGTTGGGAACCCTGGGAAGAAGTGAGGTCACCTGGAATTGGCTTGGAAATCTGCAAGGAGGGTGCGGGTGTGGCGGGTTAAGCAAAACGGAGAGTTTGATTGAGAGGCACAGCTGACGCCAGGAACCCGCAGCAAGGGAGCGGGAGGCTCAGTTCCCAGATCCCCTCTCGCCCCCGAATCTCAGCCTTTCCCGCAGCTCCCCACGGGGGGAGCCCTAAACAGGCAGAGTCCACACGGGGTGCCCCCAGAGCCGCGGGCGGATCAGGGAGAAGAGGGCAGATGTGGGCAGTGGAGGGAAGATTTATGGCACAGAAGGTGGCGTTTTAGATAACGAAAATGTCCTTGAAAACCAATACATATATATCCTCATTTCATAAATAAAGCAATAACGGCAGAGATGAAAGGTGAGTCTCAAATCATAAGATGTCGAGATAGAAACCCAAATTTCCTGAGCCACAGTCTGGGCGATGCTTTTCATATCTTGTTTTTTCCTTTCAATAAACTTTTAAAGACAGTCTTGCAAAAAATCATCCATAAAACAGCCTCAGAGTCAACATTCTATTCTCTCCCCTAAAATGATATTTCCCAAAGTATGACTTGGGGATTCATTAACTAGCAAGGGCCGGGGGGATGGATCACATCCAAGTGCTACGTTAAACCTTATGGAATTGCAACATTCGATCATTTTTTTAACCTATAAAAATGACAATTTTATATGGTTCCAATTAATACACATGAAAAACTAGATGAAAGAAAATTAAGGAACTTTCACTTCTATAGGAGCTTTTATGGGTGTGTTCACATTTATTGCTTCCTGAACATTAATATATTAATTAATTATAGCAGGAGAAGAAAAATGTCTATGTTCCTCAAATAATTATAATAAAGGGCCTTATTTTTTTTTTTAACCCAAATTAGGATGATGTCCTCTGAAAAGAAAGAATCATGAAAAAAACACAGAAAAAGAAAAGATTTCTGGGTTTCCAAAACAATATTTTTAAAAAGGGAAGATTAAAAATGGCCGTGAATAAAACTAACTGTACTCTGGCCATATGACCCGGCAATGCTGCTCCTTGCTATTTACCCAGATGAAATGAAAACTTACGTCCTGTGCAAAATCCTGCACGTGGATGTTTATAGTGGCTTTGTCATTTCCAAAACCCGGAAGCATGCAAGATGTCCTTCAGTAAGTAAATGGATAAATACACTGTGGTCCATGCCGATAACAATATTATTCAGTGCTAAAAAGAAACGATCCTTCAAGCCATGAGAAGACATGGGGGAAGACTGAATCCCTATCACTGTGCGATGTGAATGGGCGGCGCGCGGAGGATGCTTAGGGCAGCGTAGCGACTCTGATACTGCAACGGTGGACACAGGTCATCACGCTCTTGTCCAAACCCATGGAATGTGCAACACCGAAAATGAGCCCTAAGGACGCAATGCACTTTGGTGACAACGGCGTGTGGACGTAGGTTCATAGACTGTAACCCACGCACCACCATGGGGGTGTTGATGCCGGGGGAGGCTGCGTGTGCGGTGCTGGGGGGTCTACGGGAACTCTCTGTACCTTCCTCTCGATTTTACGGTGAATTCCTCCCACTCAATTTTGTGGTGAGCCTCTAACTAAAATATAAAACCTATAAAAAATATGCCAGGAGAATACAGAATGGAAAAGGGAGAAAATGAGCCTAACCTCATAACCACATAACCTTATCGACTTTTTGTTTTGCCAAATAAAACACAATAAATCTCAAATCTACTGTCGGATCCTGCCACTGTTTCAGAACACAAAGGAAATTTTATATTGCAACAAAAGGCAAAAGTGATATAACCGTAAAGTGAAGGACATTATTTTTTCCCCAAGGCGGGATAGCTGGAGCACACTTACTTGGATATTTTTGCCACGGACCAGTGAGAATTTTACCACCACGTACAAATACCATTCCACAGGCACATGTCTGCGAACGACCCCTTCAGAGCACAGGGAAACCGGAGGCAAAAAATCGTGCAGACTATCACCTCAATTTTATTAGCGACCTTTTAAAGCATTAAATTGACCTAAGTCAATTTTCTTATGTAAATCCTAAATATGGCTTGCCAGTGACCTACCAAGAGATAAATTGAGTCTGCCTGTGTTTGTGTGAAAATTCCGCTTGTTTTATGATGATAGCTGACCTCGTGTGCTACGGAATTATACGGCGTCTCTACGTGGTGCCGTCTGAAGGGCACAAAAAGGCTGAACTGCCACAAAATATCTCCGCTCTTCCTTCTTAGGGAACCATGCATTAGAAATGGGCTGGACGGCTAGGATGGGACCTATCTCTAGGAGATGATACTTCAAGTGAGCAAATGCGATTCCCACTAGTCATTCAGCAGAGGCCACTCTCTGTTAGCTACTTGAAACCCTAGCGGGAAGGCAGGGATAACGCAGGGAACTTCTGCGCAGGGAGGCTGAGGGCAGACAAATCACAGCACGTCTGCTTGGCAGGCTGGTGGCCCAGAGCCCCTGCCACGCAGAGTCACCCAGGGTGACTGGGGAACCTGGACCTGGAGCCAAGTTAGCAGGGGCCCCGAAGATAAGTCTTATGTTCCTTTAGAGACCCACATCTGTCTTGCACCCAAGATTAGACATTTACTGATTAACTGAAACCTTTAAAGCCATATTTTTTTTTCACATAACAAAGTAGATCTCTTAGGCAGACAGGGAGGGATTCTGGGTCTCCTAGTTGGGGGAGTGGGTGCTGTTGTCTTGGTGCAATTGCCCCACCTCGGGAAGAAGGACAAGAGTGGGTCCCAGGCCCGTCTTGGTCCTGCCCCACCCTAATCCTCTGCAGGGTAACTGCCATACCTGGTGGGGAGGGAACACCCTACAAATCTGACAATCAACTTAGCACCCCACATGCAAAAGAACGCAGAGGACTCTCCAGCCTGCGGGCCAAGCAGCACAGGTACCATCGAGTCTGGAAATGGACCTAGAACAACCCATTTGCAACTCCCAACTGTCCAATCAAAGTGGTTCCATGGTGACGTCTGAGCCGCAGCGAGGTCCCAATCCAGGAACTATAAAATGAGAGGCAGACCATAACCTGGCCCTTTTTTTTGCTCTCTGTTTGCTGCAACAGTGGGTCTGGTCGCCATCTGTGGCGTATGTATCATGCCTACATGTAGGAACCTACATCTTGCTCTTGCCCTATAATCCTGTCTTTCTCTCCTCCATAAACCTCGTTTTCGTGCTTGCTGTACTTTGGTGCATTTGGTCATTCTTCAGCCATGAGCATGCAAAGAACCAACATTTCAGACTCAGACTAACCCTGACATAGTCCTTGCCTCACTGCCTGTCCCTATCGTATAATGAACAGAATCTCCTAAGACCAACCATCCCTTTGACACTGACGGGTTCAGGACACATTTCTCCAAAATAAAGCCCTGGCTTTTGCGGAAACTACAGAAGCATGATGGTCACTCTCACCTCCACTCTTCTCCCCTGCAGCTCCGTAACAGAATTCCCTGACCTTCCTCTGAACCAGATTACAAAATCTCCACTGCAGGGAGGCCCTCCCTGTACCCAGAGCAAGGGATGGAGACCTAGAGAGGAGTCTGAGCAAACAGGCCCTGCTAAGATGAGATCGTACCCGTTGGTCCTCCAGCCACATTTCTGCACGCTGTCCATGAACACACACAGTTCCTCCTCTTTCTTTGGGTGTTTGTTTCTGAAGGCTTCCATGTCACGCAAACTCATCACATACATTTGTTTACACTTTTCTCTTGTTAATCTGCCTTCTATTTATGTCCTCACCCATAAACCCAGGGACGGGTGAGAAAAGAAATCTTTTCTCCCCCACAATATGCATTTTCCGAACTTCAAATTACACTCAACAAAAATTATATCCATGTAAGGGGTGTAATTAAGAACACAAATAGAGTTCTATGTTTCCAGCAAACATTTGATGCGGACAGATGCCCAGTAATGGGATTGCTGGATCAAATGGTAGTTCTACTTTTAGCTCTTTGAGGAATCTCCATGTTACTTTCCACAGAGGTTGTACTAGTTTGCAGTCCCACCAGCAAAAGACATTCTGTAAAAAAGACATCTGCACCAGAATGTTCATAGTAGCACAATTCACAATTGCAAAGACGTGGAAACCACCCAAGTGCCCATCAATACATGAGTGGATTAATAAAATGTGGTATATGTATACCATGGAGTTCTACTTAGCCACAAAAAACAACCAGGATCGAGCACAACTTGTATCATCCTGGAAAGAGCTGGAACCTATTCTACCACGTGAAGGAAGTATCACAAAAGTGGAAAAACCAAGCACCACGTGTACTCACCATCAAATTGGTTTTAACTGATCAATACTCAAGTGCACATATGGACGTAACATTCATCAGGTGTCGGCGAGGTGGGGGGAGGAGGGCATGGTGTACTCACACCTAACGGGTGCAGTGCGCACCGTCTGGGGGATAGACACGCTTGAAGCTCTGACTTGGGTGGAGCAAAGGCAATATATGTAAGCTAAACATTTGTACCCATGTAATATGCTGAAATTAAATTGATGTGGAGATAAAGAATGAGCTGGGCCACCTACTTGAGAACTGGATGGAGAAGCCGGACTTGCTGATGAAGAAGTCGCTGTCGAACTGCAGGGTGAGCGAGTTGAAGGTGCTGTGCGTGTCCTCGGGCAGGGCGGAGCCGCTCCACTCCTTCAGCAGGATGTCGCTGTCCACCGGCCCGTCCCACACCTTGAGGATGTCATGGGCCATCTCCGTGTCAAAGACGATGAAGTGCAGGCTGCGGGGAGAGAGCACAGCCGGTGCGTTTACTCGTGACAAGAGCGTGCCCCAACCACGAAGCCGCGACGTGAACACACTCGTTCCCCACCTAAAAGTGCCTTGGTATCATCTGACGATTGAGGATGAGCAAATAGAAATCAATTCACTTGCAAATTAGAACAGAGCACAAAGGGACGCAGAGAGATAGCTGAGCTAGATGCTCAGTTATCTACGTAAGGATAAAACAATTCCTTTAGAGGCTACCAGATCCTTTCATCGTTCAAAGCTTTCTAGGCTCACGAACCAAAGGAGGCTTTGACAAAGCTTTGCTTCAAGCTGATCAAAGTCGGCTCACGTATTAGTACACGTTGGTGTTGCCCCTGCAGTGCCCACGCGGTGGCAGCACCCACAGCTTGCAAAGTGATTGCACCAAAAGCAGAGTTTCTGCTTGTATCTCGATGGTCTGCTCTTAGGTTGTCCTCATTTCTAAAAATTTTTATTTTCAGAAAAAAATGCATTACTCAAAATACCAACACAAAGGCAGAAGCTCCCTTCTTTGTAACATTTTATTTAAATGTCTGTTAGTCTCACAGATATTTTCCGGAGCAACTTAAAAATCTCTGCACTCACATTCAGAGGTGGCCGTGTGTTTGCTGCCCTATTTATGGCAATTGAAAGAAATAAAAGAGTTTAGCTAAAATAGCAACAAAAATCTGCTCTTCCTGAGTGAGTTGGTTCATGGTTTTTAAGTGACTACTTATTGCACGTCCATTGTAAGGGAGATAAAATCACAGTGGGTGATGCACAAGAACCTGTACACAAATTTCAATCGCTTTATTTTGCATATATTACGTATTTAAAGAAAATACTCATTTTACCCTGAAGAAAGCATGAAGTGGTGTATTTTAAGTGTCCAATGTAAAACATGCAATATAGAGAGTAGTATAGAATATAGCAGACGTTTATTTTCTTACCACCACCGATATTAACACCTTGCCCTATTTGCTTTTCTAAAAATAAAGTCTTATGAGTAAAGTCACTCTTCCCTCCACTTCATCGTCCATCTGTGCTCCCTCTCATCCCACACTCTGAAGTGGCCATAGACTGTTTCCATTTACATCTTCATAATTTTCATATGTGTATGTGTGTATATAACCCTAAACAACACATACTACAACTTGTGTGGCTCACAGTAATTGCATAACAAATACCATTTGATATGTATGTGCTTGTATCATTTTCAATTTGCTTTTATATTCAGTGTCATGTGAGTCTTCCATGCCAAAAAATGTAGAGTTTAGTTAATTTACTTCAAAAGCAGGAGTAAGTGCTTTATTTTTGAGTCCTCTACTAACAGATAGTTTCTACTTAGTCGTGATGAAGGCTGCTGCGTGGATGTTCTGGTGCCCTGATCCACGGACCTTCCGGGCTGGGCACAGAAAACAGAAATTTCCGAGTTGCTCTGGCTGGTGACTCTAAGAACTCACAGTCTCACAGTCTCACCATGACGTGCACAGGCCTTGTTTTGTTGCAGCTTTACAAACACCTGACACTGTAGGTCTAGCAGTTGTGCAAACAGGAATCTGATGGTTGTGGACTGGCATCCTGTTTGGATGACGCCTCCCTGATTATTCACGAGGTTGGTCATCTCTTGTGCCTGTAAGGCCTTCCCTGCTCAGTGCAGGTCAACAGTCCAGCAAACACTTACTTAGCACCAACAGAGTACAGCACATGCTTCTAGGAACTTTGGCTACACCAGTGAACAGAGTGAAGGACCTGCCTTCGTGGAGTTTATATCGTAAAGAGAAGAGACAGAGAAACAACAGCAACTGTAATAAATAAGTAAAGAATACAGAGTGTTAGGAGGCGGCAAATACAACTGAAGAAGGAAAACGGTAGAGCAGGACAAGGAGCCTCGGGAACACGCAGTGTGGAGGGAGGAGGGTGCAGGGTGAGACACTGGTGAGGGGAGGTTGGAGCAGAGTCTGGAAGGAGGGAAGGGAGTGCGTTATACTCCCCGTGAGGGAAGACTCGGCCAAGCAAGACCCCCCAGGGGGTGCCTTCAGCATCTGAGAGCATCCGGGGCCCCTGTGGCCAGAGCAGAGAGAAGGACCGAGGAGGAGGAAGGGCCGAGAGCAGAGAGCAGGTGCGTGGGTGGGGCGGTGCGGGGCGAGGCCTGGCACCGGGAGGGCTTGGTAGGCAAAGGGATTTTCTCCCTTACGTGGGTGATAGACCAGTGCAGCATTTTTAGTGAAGCAGGTGTCTCACCTACAGATTAAAGAAATTACTCTGCTTGCTCTGTTGAAATCAACCTGTGCAGGGAAAACGTAGAGTCTGTGAGCTTCCTGGGCAGCCCACAATGGAGGTGCGAGTGCTGGGAAGAGCCTTATGGAGCAGGTACAGGGAGTGGAGTCAGATTCCGGACACATTTTGAAGGGAGAGAAAACAGGACTGTGTGGGAAGGAAAACGTGTGCTGTCTCCCTAAGTTTTTGTCTAAGAGACTAGAAAGGTGGGGTTGCCATCAACCGAGTTGAAGAAAGGTGCAGGGGTGAGTTTGTGGGGTGGGGAGGACCAGAGACTCTGTCTGGGACCTGCTGAGTCCAGGACGTGCACGAGACACAGACGGAGACAGTGCGCAGGCAGCTGCTCAGCCAGTCTGGAGTCTCAAAAGGAAGTCCCTGGATGGGGACAGTAAACATGTGTCTTCGGCAAACAAAGGGTTTTTAAACCATCGGACTTGATGAAACCACCGAAGGTCCGAGGTGGAGCATGGTCTCTGCCAACCATGCGAGATCATGCAAGGCCCTGGGTGGGCGTGTCAGGGCAGCGTCAGCGGGTCCTGGGGCCAACAGTCTGGGCAAGGAGCTGTCATGTACAGTGGAAGCGTCTGAGAGGCTGCAGAGGGTGATGGCTGGGTTTGGGGAGAACTGCTGGGAGGATTCAAGAAACAGGAAAGTAACGGGAACGGGTAACGGCAGAAAACAGGAAAGGGAAGGTAAACAGAGCGAGAAACGGCAGGGCTCCAGTTTCATGGCCAATGCATCTTCTCAGTGCCTGTTAGGAGGAAATCTAAGGTAAAGTATCAAACTAATTCGGTGAGACATATATCGATATCTTCATTTTTTTTTAAGATGGAACATATTCGAGATAGGGGGAGGAGAAAGAAGTAACAGCAGAAGATTAATACTGATTATTAAGACCTGGAGCCACTTGGAGGAAGAGGGGTAAGAGAAATGGGGGAGGAAGAGGCAGAAACAGGCCGGGGTGGAAGGATGGCCATCGCGGTGGAACTGGGTGTGTGGAGGACATCCGTGAAGATTTGCAAGGAGTTGGGAAAATATGGCGAGATCTGGGAGAGATGCCAGGGAAGCCTGGATCAGCTTCCACCATTTTATCTTTTGTGCTTTTTATATCCTGAAATATTTCTAGAGGTGTCTTTTATGTGTTTTTCTGGAGTCCCTCCTTCTGGGACATCTGCGTCTCCTCACTGCCTTCTCCGTCTCGGGTTTCTCCCAGAGCGGCCACGTCCCCACCGTCAGCTCTGTCTCCTGCAACTCCGTGTACCTCGGATTCGAATTCCACATCCCGTGATACCACATCTCCTTTCTTCCATGCACTTCCTTCTTCCTTGGCCAACGCCCTCTCCTGATGATCCGTGTTTGCCAAACGTCAAGTGGGTTTGTCCGTGGGGGCCAAGGAAGCACAGGACTGCCCACTCCGCTGTCTGTGCATGAACGGCGAGCAGTCGCCACCAGCTGCTGCGGGACGGGCTGTGATCAGGGCTGCGATGATGCACCTGTTATTTACGGGGGTGGGGGGGGAGCTGAAGAGCCAGCAGCAAGGTTGTCCCTCGTGCATGCGCTCACGGTTCATGCACCATGGCAATGGATATGTGCACCGTGCGGGGAGGGGCTGGTGTTATTTAACTAAACGGCGGTAACTGGAATTGCGTTATCAGAGCCCTGCAGAGTGCGGGGTGTGTGGGTTTCTCCCCCCGACTCTCTCTCTCCCCAGCGGCTGGTGAGGTGAGCAACGCCCAGCAGGTGCTCCGGGGCCCCCGTCCGGGAGCCTGCAGTAGCCGCGTGGACAGGGCCAAGGTGGATAGCTCTACCGCTCTCTTCCTTTTCTACGGCCGAGATTCTATTAGTTATTTCCTCACATTATCTACAATGGGGGGGCTCCATCGTGATCTTAACAGCGACAGAGAAGTCTGAGATGCTTTGACTCCTGGCCGGCCCCACACCTTCCTGTCATGTCTGCAAAATGTCCCTGCCGGTGTCCCAAGCACACGTAAGAAGGCTTTGCGTGGAAACTGGGGACACACGTGCAGTGAAGGGAGGTCATTTGCCTGCACTTTTCCTCTTATTTGCATTTCTTATCCAGATCTTGAAGGCTGGTCAAAATGGATTAAATATTCCTGAATCTCCAAACCAGATGGCACACTAATCTCTCTCCGTCCTGGCCTGGACAGAAAGCAGACCCAGCACGGGACCGCCAGATGGCGCTGTGATCGCCAAACCACCTGCTAATTCCTTTAAAAGTCTGCATCCAGTTTTGACAATCTTGACAAAAGTTTTGATATGCCTCCTGCATGAGCTTATTCAAAAGAATTCCCTTCACCTATACCCCAAATGCAATTTCCTGCAAACAATTAGGAACAGACACACATTCGAAGGGAGCTTTCCAGACAATTACACTTGCAGAAGAGCAATTCAAACTGAGCAACCATGTGCAATGTGGTCGTGCAAAACGGAGCCTTCAACGTTGCTGGCCGAAGACGCCCGCGATGCTGTTACCTCCATTACATAAATCACGGCTGTGCCCAGTAAGGAAATATTTAATGCACCGGGTCTCTTAGAGAAATGTTTGCATATAACTCTTAATGAGGCTAAATTTACTACGGCGTCTTGTGATGAGACTTTTAATTAAATTTGGCTCAGGTAACTGCTTTATAGCATATATGTTAAAATTACAAACCTCTTCCAGACCCAAGTGCCCCATAATAATAACTATTTTGGGGTATTCTATTACCTCAAAGAAAGAGTCCTACCAATATATAATCAGAATTGCTCTGGGCTGCAATGAAATCAAAGTAGCCCAGAAACCACTGGCCTGAGTATTGAAAACAGCCCTTTAACATGTTCCAAGAGCCTACTGTTTGTTTATTCCTTTAGAGTGAAAGATTTACATTAAAAATCAGAGTATGAATGCATAGTAATGAATTCCATTTATATTAAAACACACAAATTAATTCCTGGATTCACATTTGTATGATTGATGTATTCCTCATTTTCAAGTAAACAACGCAGGTAATATTGACTATGTCACCAATGAAATAACTGAGACTTAGTAAACTAGCCAGAAAATATCAACGCTAAGGCCAGATTCTATTTTTCAGAATACTGGTATAATTTTTTTTTAAGCCTAAAATTATACAGTATGCACTCTTAATTATATTATTTTCCAAACCACCATACCAAAAATTGCATTTATATTCTTAATAAAGAATGACTCAATCGTCAGAAACATTTTTGGATGAAGTTGAATCTCAATTGGGTACATTAATTATAAATACTGATGCTTTCCTCTTAACTTCTTGTTAGGAAGGAGTTCATGCCTTAAATTAAAAAGATATGTTTATAAGTTTGATAATATATCCCCTCATATTTGAAAGATATATATGAGAAGAAACCTTTTCCAGGAAAACACATCGGTGTATGTAATATATCTCTTTCTAGAATGCTAATTATTAGATATCAAGGTCAGTTCATGTTATAAAAGTTATACATTTTTATTACTTCAAATCATTCTTTATTAATTTTTCCTCTTTTCTTATTAAAATGTTAACAAAGTACTAGATTCACCTTCAAAGAGTGAATCTATCACTTGGTTTGCATTTAGAGGGAGATGGGGCCCATTTTAATTCTAGGGGGAAAAAATCACAAGGAAAATTGTAAGAAAAACATAAAATTGAAATTTCCTGAAAGAAAAAAAATTCAGGTTATGTAAACTCATTCCACTGGTCATAGATGATTTTCACAGTTTTTCAGAATCAAGACTAGTGGAATGGTTTTTATATTACTCAAATCAAGGGTTCAAGAATTCAAAGTTAAGAATTAAAATTTAATTTAATTTTTTTCAATAGAAAAGTGACTTCATTGATTCTCATGAGCAACATGGAAGCTGGAATCCTGTTACTCAGATGCTTGTCCTCCCAATGGAGCAATAATTATCCAGTTCATCATTTCTCTTTAGTAAAGACACACACATTTTTAAATAAGTCATTATAAAATAATATGTGCTATGGTTTGAATGTCCTCAACAAAATTCATGTTGAAATTTAATTGTCATTGTAACACTGTTAAGAGCTGTGGCTTTCAGAGGTGGTTAGGTCCTGAGGTGACGCCTCCGCCACGGGGCGACCCTCACCAGGTGTGGCGCCATGTGCTTGGGCTTCGCACCCCCAGAACTGTGAGACAAATAAATGTCTGCTCTTTATAAACTACCCAGTCTGTGCTATTCTGTTTTAGCAACAGAAAATGGGAAAAGACAGTATGTTTGCATTATATACATGCTTTAAGTGTATTTTTTAAATTTTTTCTGGCTCCTCCTCCATAGTAAGAATCTTTCTCAGAGTTTGTAAGTGGCAATAATTTGTGCCACGTTGGTTTAACTCACTCCAGAGACATTAATATGGTTAAATTAAGACACATGAATTTCAGAGGAGGTGGGTGTCAGAAGAAGAGAAACAGCATTATGGAAGAGAATATGCATTTTTTCACTCAATTTCATCCCATTTTATTCGTGCCAAGTTGCAGAGTTGCAGCGCAGTGCGTCTATGATAGCTATTTAATAGAAATCACTAAGTTTGAGAGGCCGTTCTCTGTGCATAGGGAAGAAAATCATTAGTTCATGAACATTTTCATATTTCAAATTCCCCAAGAAAGAAACCTCTGGCTTTGACCTTTTATTGTCTTTCAGCCTTGCATATATTAAGGCAGAGCTGAGCTAGCCAGACAGGTTCGTTTACTCTTTGAGGGGCCCAGAAGCATGAGGGAAAATTATAAAAATTTTAGACATGCGGACTAAGGCTGTTGGGGGCCAGGGTTTTTAAAATGTAAGTTTTGTAGAGAGATTTAAAACAACATGGAAAGAGGAAAGTTAATTGAAAGAAAAAGAAATTTTCAGAAGTATTGCCGAGGACTATGTGTTCTCTTCCTATTCAATAAGAACTGTAATTAAAGAAGAACTTATTTTAGAATTACCTTTTCCCTTACATGCTGTGGTTTTAGACACAACTAGATTATGGAGAACTTTAAAAATATGACTTTTTGTTGCTTTTAAAAACTCACCGAAATAACTTAGAACTCTTGATTGAAACAGAACACTTTTTGTAAATGTTGGCACCATTTTCTAAAATTTTTAATGATTTTCTTTTATACGTGTGACTTTAAATTGGAGTACTCTCTTGGCCTATCTCAAAGACACTTTGGTATACTGCAAAATGACACACCTTCCTCCCATCCCTGTATACAAGCCCCTTTTCAATACGACTTTGCTTCTCTTCCCATTAAGAGGCAGGTGGAATGTACTTCTTCATACCTCGAGTCCTGTCTACCCATGAAACTTGCTTTGGCAAATGGCACCTTAGCAAATGTAATATTAATATAAGCAGAAGTTTGAAGTTTGTCACCTCTTGCTGCTAGGAACATTCCACCCTGAGCAGCCTACTGCAGGAACAGAAACCAGTGTGTGGGGGGGTTCCTGACTTCCCAACAGGCCCAGCTGAGGCCCCCACACCTAAGGGAGGTCATCCTGGATCACCCAGCCCCAGCCAAACTCACTCATATCAGAACTGCCTGGACAAGCCATGAAGTCATGAACGAATAAATAATTGTTGTTTAAGCTACTAATTATTGAGGGGCAGTTTGGTATGTAGCAAAAGCTAACTGATACACTCACTTTCTTTTGATCTTTATCATCTATGGCTGAACACAGAATTACAAAGGACTAGCAAAGTAAGCAAACGAACCAACAAAAAGTTTTAGCCACAGCTTTGCATTTTCTTCTTTAGCTCAGACACTTTAATCATGGATAATTGATGTACTACTATCTTTGCTACAAGAAGACATACTTTATTCTCGAATCTCTGAAATAAAAATAGAGCAAGTACCTAATGGTCTTTCCTGGGTCTGCCTCTATAACCCACGTGCAGTGGAGGTTGTTGTCATAAGGAGCTGGGTAGCCAGGGGACAGTATCCGTCCTGACGTGGCAGCGTGGATACGCCCGCCGCATTCCGCTGCAAAAGACACAGAGAGACAGGAATGTCAACTCCGGGATCACATGTTTATGTTTCTACTTAGCTACTGTGAGAAACCAAAGCCACCATGTCTGCATTATACCTAGAGAGAAAGATCAGAGTCATCATCTCTCTACCACTTCTTCCCAGTACTTCTGCCAGTCATGATCTAAATGCAAAATATTCACCCTCCCTGTAAAGGTGAGTATAAAACAATGAAATGCTCGTGTGATAATTCTATTAATAGCTCTGTGCACACTGTCTCCATAGAACAGTACTAGGAAGTCTGTCTGTCATACCTGAAAGCGCACACCCACATGCATAGCTTAGGAATGCACAAAGCCCAGGCTGGAAAGAGTGGGAATTCCACGGGAATGGAGAGAGAGCCAAGCCTTGCTCTTGCGCAGCAGCCGGGACCGGCGTGGCCACTCACCTACGCAGGAGGGCAGCGGTTTGTCCCACACTCTCCTGTCTCCGCTCAGACAGGTCAGGGTGCTGCTGCCGTGCATGGCGTACCCTGGGTTGCAGCTGTACTGGACGACGGTGTCCGTGAAGTGGCCTTCGTCGCGGATCCTGTAGCCATAGCTGGGGATGCCCGGGTCCTCGCATTTTACTAGATCAAAACCTGCAGGAGAGAAAGGAAAAGAATGAGTAGAACTCAAGGCAGAACGTGCATCGGCCTTCAAATGGCGATGGAATAAACTCGGTTGCTCCATGTTCCTTGAAGGGTGGGAAGAAAAGAAAATTGGGAATTTACAAAAGGGAAAAGAAGTATGGGTGCTTATTGGGGTTCTTTGTTAACCACGTGTGATTTCTCGAGCTTCGATCACCTCATTAGTTCCTCTCTATTTACATAGTCTTCTTTTCCAAAGAGTCCACGTTGTCCGCACGTGGGGTCGGCATGCCGCGTCTGCCCTCCCGACCTGCAGCTTTGTGCCCTCCCTGTCGCAACCCCTGACCTCCAGGAGAGAAACGCCACCCACCGGCGCCCCCGGGTGCCTTGTGGGATCCCTACGGCCGCACTCGTTCCTGGGCAAGACCCACCCACCTTCTAGACGATGCCCCCGACCTCCAAGATCTCGACTTCCTGGGAAGTTTGAAAAGTGGTTCCTGCCCACAAAAATCTGGGGGCTCATGAATTACGGCCGACCGCAGTCCTGCCGGTACACGGTTACGAGGTCTCGAGCGACTCCACGCACAACAGAAACGCCAGAGATGAATCATCATGATGACCTCATCAGTACAAGCTCTTACATGCACAGAAATGGATGACAGAAATGAAGATGTAGCTTCTGCAGTACCGAGAACTGTATGTTGCTTTTGTGGGAGGCAATATTTTAGGGCCATCTGTGAAGACAGTCTTATGGTAACGTATTTCTCTTCATATCATGATGCAGATTTTGATGATTTTTAAAAGGAGGGCTGGAACCTGGAGGGGCCACATGGGCCGTTTACTTCTATTTCCACCTAACTCTGAATGGTTCCTTTTCTCAAAAAAATTAAAATTTGAAACGAATATGTGACTCTTGCCAAGTCTGCCTGTCAACTTGCATTTTGAGATGCCTCCTGTTGAGGAAAATATATCCTCAAATTCACAATACAATTTTACCCAGCTGATTTCTAAATAATCAAGCTTGAGTTTTGCAACTTCGTATAGGGCAGAGAAAAGAGCACATGCTTGATCATTTAGACTCAGTTGCCAAGAAAATTTCCTTCTAGAAAGTTTCCTTCCATAAAGCGTTAAGTCTTTACTGACTATAAAACCTTTATAATAACTCTGATCTATTTAAGAAATATAAATGATTTTAATTTAAGACGTCCAGAATGCAAGAGCAGAGAAGGGTATAGATTTTGGTGCAAAACAAAGGGATATTCTAAATTGCCAGAAATGGGAGGCAGGAATGCAGGGAAGGCTCTTAGTCACCTGTGGTTTCAGGGACCACAGTACGTGACTGTTCTACTCTGACTGCACGTGCACAGACAACCGGGGAGAAGGTAGGACATTCCACTGTCATGTCCCATATGACAAAATCCACTGCACATCAGTGCCACAAAAGGCCTTACAGATTGGTCTTTGTTCTAAGGGGAAAAAGAAACAGGAGTCCCTGTTGTTATTATAACTGAAGTTTTACTGGATTTGGGGGTTTGGAAGTGACAGGATCTGAACGATGCTTCGGAAAGCAGTCCTGCCCAGGAATGAGAACCACCACGCCCGAACCGGAGCAGAATAATGAGTCACTGGCCGCTGGGGAGCAGGACTCTACTGCTAATAACAATGTTTCAAAACGTTTCACTGTCTTGAGTTCAAATTAGGTACAGCGAGTATCAAATGCCAGTGGAACATACAATGGGAAACATCCACTAGACAAAATCCAGGTGTAAACAATGCAAACCCAAAGAGTCCAACATCTGTCCCTATTGTCAGAACCACTGTAACAGGACCCTGATCAATATCTTGATGCGACTAGAGAGAGCGCCCTGGAAACCCAGAGCTTCTACGTTGCGTTGCTCCTGCCCGGAACCAGCTGCCTTCACCATTTACGCCGCCCCGCCAGCCCCTTAGAGTTAAGTGTCTCCCGAGGTCTCGGAGGCAGGTAGACTCTGATCGCAGTCGCGGATCTTGCTCAGTCACCGGTTAGGACGCAGCCTGGCCGGCCGCTTCTCTCCCCACAAATCGCGAGAGACTCCTGTCAATTGAGCTTCACTTGCTCTATGTGTAAAGAGTAATATATAATCACTGCCTCCTAAAAATGTCAACACTGCTTCTAAATATCGGTGAAATAAGTGGATACATAACAGCAGAATTCTGAAATGACCATATAGTATAAAATTCTATGGTGTTGACTCTGTAGAGTTTCCAAAGAGGATTTTCTATGATTTATTAAAAGAAAACTCAGATTTTTTAAGGCATTATATTCAAATCTATGAAGCTATTTCTCCAAAGAAGAAATATTTCAGTTTTAATGTAAATTTAAAAGACTTTTGAATGATCAGTCGTAAGACTGTTGGAGAGTAATAGCTTTGAAAATATTTTTTTTTCTAAAAGGATTCTTCTCTGTCTTGAAACTACTAGCCTGCAAGAAATCAGTGTATGCATATGGGTTCTGTGTTTTCTTTATGCTGTAGACACTTTAAAAAAGATTAAATCAAGTTATTTGTGTCAAAACATTACCAGGAGTTACAATTGAAGCTCGAATCTATTTAGTGATTCTTTTTCTTCATGTTTTCCAGTGATTTCTTCTTAAGTCATATACATCGCAGAAATGCCACGAACAGAATGTTTTAGTCAAAACAAGCTCCCGATGGCAGGCTGATGAAAATCACCACTCCTTATCTTTTGCCGTAATTACCCAATCTTAATATTTTTTAAGCATTAAATCCTCTGCCTCTTCTGAGTTTAGCAAAATATTAGAGTTTTAAGAGGCTTCCTTTTAACTTTCAAGTATTTGGACTAGTTCTTCTCCTCCAAATAAGGCACTTGTGTAGGAAGAACCTGCTCTAGACTGAATCCACTCCCCACGCCCAGGCTGAACAATGGGTGAGTTTCTTCAGCTTCTACCTGAGCTGCTCTTGACAGAGCACTTTCATGCCCAGGTGAGCTTTGAAAACATAATCGAGGAAGAAGAATACTTCGCATTTATACATCCCTGATATTTTCTCTCAGGAGCAACTGAAAAAAACTTCTGGCATTTATAGAAACCTACTCTCTTTTAGCTGTACCTACAGCATTTCAATTTGGATAATGTAACTTTTTGGTAAAAAAAAGCTCTTTAGTGATCTAAGAAAGATTGTCATGTGCAAAAATAAATGGAGAGTGTTTTCACATTTATATTCGGTATAAAGGAAAACTACATTGAAAACCTAAATAATCTTTTCCTCTTAGCCCTACCTGCAATCACTTGGAAAGAAGGGGAGTCTAAGAGGCGGTTAGTGCTTCACCGTATTTTTGTGGTTCACTTGAGAAGAAAAGTTCACACTGATGGTGAATTTCCTGAAATGTCTGATTAATCCATATTTTACAACACAACTCTCTCGATTCAAGGATGAAATTCTGAGTGAAGAGAGTGTGTATGTGTTTGATATTTACACTAGATATTTTTAAACATAAACATGTAATCTACTCTAATTTAATATATAATTCAAGTATATGTCTGTGTTGTTTTTTTAGCTATGGTTGCTATTGGTTTCAAATTGATTTCTTTTGTCAGCATTTTTTTTCATTTAACTCATTCAATTTGCCATAGATATTGTTTTATTATTGCCGCTATTATTTTGGAATTATGTAAGCAACCATCATGGAAATATATTCCGAATTTTATAAAAGGAGCAACAGCAAACAGGGTGTTGACAGTGTTTACACAGAAACGTGACCTTCTGAGCTCCATAGTGAAACATCAAAAAGCCTTCAAAAGTCCAGAATAAAAACCACAAAACCAAAGTCATTAGCTATTCTTCGGGAACCATCTTATTTTTTATCAAAGGAATCATTAAGAAATCATACAGCAATGTAATAATTATAGCAAAGAATTTTACAAGTCAATCCTGAAACACTTTCTAATTCTAAATATATAACAAAAGCCTAAATCAAAGCTTTGGTTTGGTTTTGATTTTGTGCAGATTTACTGGTAATTCAAGCAGTTAATATCCATTCTGAGAATTCTTCATAAAAGAATTCAAATTATGCACCTTCTCGTTGATTTTCACCACTCTGCGCCTATTTTCCATGTTGAGGATGTTTGAACCTGCGTGGAAACTCGTACAAGACCAGAATCAGGCATCTGCGTGGATGGACTGAAGTAATTTCACTCCAAAATAGCCTTTCAATGCACCCAGCTGGCGAACATTGTTCTCGCTACCGCAGTGGGCGGGTGGCGGAGGGTGTGCATGGGCGCGGCACGCAGTGGGGGCAGAGCTTGGGAGAGGAGGGTGGGCTGTGACCGAGGGAGGGCAGATGAGAGGGAGAGCCCGGCGCGTGGGAGAGGTGGGGAGAAAGAGGAGAAGCATCCGTGCGGTCCACGCACAATTGTTCCTGTCGTCTGGTTGCAGGTCTTCTGTATCAACCCAGAAAATCAATACGATCTTTCATCGATAACTTTTTCTATGACATCGTTAAAAATTAACATGCTTCGAACATTTTGGGGGCCTAGAACAAGGCAATCTCGGTCCTCAGGGAGTTTAACAGGTCAATCGGATGTAACAAAAAACAGTGATCAATTGTAACGACAGCCAGACAATAGGACCACATGATCTGTGCATGGCATTGACACTTCAACCTATTAGCGCAGTGGGACTCGCTGCTGTTCTTGGTCCCTGCTTCCCGTTAGCTTTGCTAGTTTTTTTCCCCCAATTATACATGTGTTTTGTTGTACTCACTTCTTTGTGTATTGGGAATAAGTAGTGAAAGAAGAATCATTTTGGTGTTTTTTTTCTTTCCTCTAGTAGGAGTCCTGTGGGGTTTCGTGAGTGCGGCTCCCTGTGGATACAGAAGGAGCCCACAGGCACCTGGCCGACGCCGGTGTTCGCCGCGCACCCCCACGCCGCGTGTCCACACCATCCTGTCTTACACACGTTAAGTTAAACGCTGACGTGGAAAACTGCTACTCCACAAAGGTGAACTTTTAATAT